AGCAGTGAGGTGTGGCTTGGGAGAACCTTAAGGGACCCACAGAGTACTGGAATAAAACTCTTCATTTGGGTTCACAGGAGGTTACTTTGTAGAAATGTCATGTTTCCAAAAGATGTATGACCTTCCATTAGCTCAGTAAGATTAATTTTGTTTCTTCAGATTATCAGTCTGGACTTTTTTGCAGTACTTTTCACTTCCCAGAAAAGGACTGATCTAATGGCCTGGACACAAATGGCTCATATTGCTTATGCAACTTTAAGATTTTTATTTTTAAAAAAAAAAAGCTTTTGATGTCTTACGCAGGCGTCATTCTTAAGTAAAAATGCCATTGCTTTAAAGGTGCGGCACATGTCTTTTATTTGCCAGGTGCTGTCATGTGTCTATGCAGGTGAAATTATCAGTTTTGTGAGGGACTGTGCCAGGTCTTGTGAACAGCTTGTTGGCTCACCTTGATTACAGGTCTGGAGTCTGTTTTGCTGGAGCGGTGTTCAGATGGGCTCTTTTTAGTCTGAGGGCTACTTCAGCTCTCGGTGCATCAACACAGGAGTAAATGCGAATCAGGTCTTAGGTTAGTTTGATATCCCCACCTTCACTAAGGTGAAATCTAGGTGCTTAGAATTTAACAGTGAAGGTCAGAGGCCTGCAGAGTTGTAATTGATATGCCTGACCATACATTTGTCAACCTTGGTTCTCTCCTGTTTTGTGTCTACAGATTGCAGTAGAGAGGATGAACAGTTCACTTTCCCCTCTTGTATGTTATTTCCTGACGCTTCCTCTTTGACCAGTTTGGTCCTAGCTTGGCTCTTTGGCATGTGAGTCAAGCCACTCTTTAATCATGTTCGATAAAAGCTTCAGTTATAAACAAATGGATGGTTGGTATCAATGGAACTATGAATAAATAGAAGAAAAAAAAATTACGCATTGATAACGGGGGACCACTGAACAGTGGAGGGTTGAATCTGAGCACTCACCATCACAACCAGCTGGGATCACAACACACATGCACAAATCATCAGACTACTGCTCTTTAAAAGTATGTTGATTAAATTCAGCAATACCGATCAATAATCGAACTATTCTACAACTACAACAAGTATGTGTTTAGGTGAGTGTATGTGAATGTGTGAAAGGACGAGGGAGGAGCGAGAGGAAGCAAAATGACGGACGTGACGTGGTTTTCACATCTGTGATAGCACAGTGGTGTATAGAGCAAAGCTGAGGTATATGCTCCCACATTATCCATTTCTATGAGTTGGGTATTGATGCACGAGGGTGTAGGTTAGTAAAGGAGGGAGAGATCAAAGTGTTCAAAGCAAAGATGTTGGGATCTGAGGGCTTGGCAGCTCAGGTTCTGGAAGGTCCCTGCCGGCCAATCCTCAAGCGGCTTCTCTTTGGCTGAATACTGCTGACTATCCAAGTCAGCCGAAACACTGTAAAATCTAAACTGCAAAACTCCTCGTCCATAACATCCTCTGCACTCATATTTTTTAATGTCATTTCCTCCAATGTAAGCTAAACTAATTTGAAGAACAAATATGTTTTTGAATGGCATTGCATATGATTGCACCCCGCAGCCACCAAATATCAGTGTGTTGTTTTAACTGGACCAATCCGTGACGATCAACCCCCCTGTCAGGATTAAAATCATGCTTGCTTGCTGTGATGTCTCTGCACTGATAACTTTTTTAGATGAGTTTCCTCAGATACATAAAATGTAGCAGACTGCACGGCTCTGCCATGTTAGTTTTAGGGGCGTAACACCCCCCACACAATGTGTTGAGGAGAGAACCTACCATCCCTTACATCCTTCATGCCATATGAAAAGTGCTGAGCCTGCCTAAATGACCTACAGAGCAATATCAGAAGGTTGTGTGCAAAGATGGTTAGACTAGTTTGTTCTGTGACATAGAAATATTGTTTTGTAGTCCCTTGACTCTTTTGGATCTTGACTCAAGATCATCCCACTAAAATACCATTAAAGAGGCATCGTTAAGTCAGGGGGCGTAACAACCACCCATTATGTGTTAAATTCACATCAAGGTCAAACAGGTGTAACTTCCTGCCGCATTTGTAATTCAATGTGCATGATGAGTTTACAATTAATGACGATTCATGAAGCAACAAATTGAGACAATGTTTGTTTTTATATATCCTTGTTTGATCTGTCTACAAAAGTTTCAAACTGTGTACTCTGCGATGTTAGAAAGTAAAAAACAATTACCTCTTATCAGGATGCTGCTACTGTTGTGCATCTAGTCCAAAAAGTAAAGGACAACAGGAAGAGTTTACTCCACCACATAAAGAGAGAGATGCAAGGCAGCCTCTGTTGTGGCCAGATACACACACACACATACACACAAACACACACACCCATTTTGATAAGAACACGACTGGCATGAGGCACTTCACTCAAAGTAAAGACAATAATTTCAGATGATCCCTGAACGACAGTAATCACACAGCAGCTTTGACTCCACCCACGCACACACACACACACACAGTAACAAAAAAACATAGTTTTGTCATCCATTGCAATTTTATTTCAATGTTATATTTTTAATAAACGCTTAAATGTAGATCTCTCAACATTTCCTTTGTTTCTGCTTTTTAATTTTATAAATCTGGTTTTCAAACACACAAAGTGCAACAGATGCACTGTTGTGCTTTAGAGATTGAGTAGGGGAGAGTGGGACAGAAACACAAGAAGGCGTTGACATATATATAGCCCCCAAGACTTAAACAGAAGGGAGGAGGAGAAGAAGGATGTGGGGGATAGGAGAACATAATGACAGAGTGGGAATAAAGATAGATATTTATTTTTAAAAAAATGTTTTGTGTTGATTGAGCACTCTTCGGACAGGACGGGAAGTTGAAAAGCTGGAATAGTCTTGTTTAACCATGTATCTAGTTTATATGTATACGCCTTGTAAACATTTTATGATATAAAAAGTAAAAAGGGATGAAAGCGTACAATACTAAAAATAATCCTGGCGACTGAGCTGCATTATAACACCTAGTAATAAGTATTCCCAAATGTTATTTGTGGAAGCAACCATTGGTTTCTGTTTCACTGTCATGGCACCTTTACATTTTCCTGTATACAGAGATGGGCAGTATTTCTATTACTTGTATTTGAAATACGTATTTAAATTACTTTTGAGTATTTTGTAATTTGTATTTGATAGGGCTGATAAAAATCTCACGTAATTTGTAACAAAATACTTTAGAGTGGAGTAATTTTGTATTTAAAATACTCAAAATACTTTCTCCACAAATCAAAAAACAGTTCACGAGTTCAGTCTTAAGATCTTCAAGTTCAACGGATTGTCTGTCAAGTTAAATATTGAGATTGGGAGCTTGTGTGTTCATGATAACCTTATCAAGAGATGTCTGACCATCTAATCTTGCACTCTATTACAAGTTATGCTGTATGTTCTCAATGTCAATGTCATAATGCCATATCAATTACTGGCAGATAATATAGTTCACAGTTAGCCAGGCTATGACAGTAGATGTCCATTTGTTTAAAAAAAACATTAAATATCCAATTTATTTTATTTAAAAGGCATATTATGAAAGTATTCTTAGTTTTAATATTTCATACATTCTACAGTTGGCCAGGTGGACAACATGTCTGTGACTGTTCTTCCTTTTTGTGGGGTTCACCAGAGCTTTGTGTACATTATATAGCCCATACCTGAATGCTCTGCTATACCAAATTGTGAGAAAACAGAAAATCCAGAAAAAAGTATTTCCCATATTTTAAATACAAAATACATGTATTGTATTTTGTTACATTTTCTGGCACCAGTATTTTGTATTTTATTTTAATACATTTATTTGAGGGGTATTTTGTATTTTGTATCAAAATACATTTTGATGTATTTTTGCCCATCTCTGCCTGTATTGGTTATAAAAAATAAATACATTTTCATTGGTCAGCCATTTTCAAAATCCCATTAAACGCATGAGAAAGGGATTAAAATATGTTAAAGCTTAGTCGAATGGTGCACCAGTTTATCCAGTTTTAAAGACTCTTTGGTGTATATATACAAATCAACAATACATATTATCGGTGAAATGTAAGTGGCAGATTGTGTGTCTGTGAGCATGTGCAATAAACTGCATGCATGCACCCACGTGTGCATTATATGTGTGTGTGTACAGCCACGGTTTCCACAGCAGATGCAGCTGTCTGGCCCGTTGGACTGCGCCTATGTCACTGGGACTCTATTTTGGGACCATGTGTTGCTCAAAAGGTCAGATAAAGAGGCATAGGCATCTTCACAAAGCAGAGGGTGGGGGTGTCTGGTGAAAGGGGGTGAAGGCGGGTATCCACAAACCAACATACACATACATCACAAACACAGGGGCAGTGCTGACAGAGAGGGGGAGAGAGTAAGACAGGAACAGGGCAAGCAAAGTAGAGTAGTGGGAAGACTTTGAGCAGGCTTCCTGTGAGGAGGATTCACCTTGGACTGAATAAGAACTTTCTAGGGAAGACAGAAGTGATCGTTTCAGAGTCCTGGGGTATTAGTTGAAAAGAAAGTCTGATTTGACCTTTGATCCTGTGGACAAACAGACATTTATTGTCATCATGGATGGGGAATTGCCCAGCCAGGAGACATCTGGGTCTACAGAGACCACTAGTCAGACTGACACCAACAACAACAACCAGGTCTGTGTATTTTTGCATTTTCCTTTTAAGTTGCAGCTTTAAAGTGTTCACACTTCTAGCAATAACCGGTGTCACCATCAGTACCAGGAAAAGGCAGTGAGTTTATTTGTGGCCATGGCAGGTGTTGTGTTTGGACAGTTGACGTGGTTTTGGCTGAATTTGCTGTGCTACACCTGTTCTTACTCCTGGCTGCAGAGCGTAACACACAGAGACACACAAGTTATGCAAAGTGGAGTTTCCTGTTCCCTCTGATGAGTCACCGGTCCAAGGTCTGACCTGGTGACTCTTCTTGCTCTGACATTTTACCAGATTATACATTTCAAAAATCATTACATTCATCTTTTAAACTGAAAATTCTGCATGCCACATTTTGTCTCGATGAAATCCCTAAAGATTTTGTTGAAGTTTCAAAAAACATTGTATGACCCTCAACTGACTAATCACACATTTTCTTCCTCAATTTGATGAACAGCACTCATGTCATAGGAAACAACGTTATATTTAAACGTAGAGAGTCAAGGGGGTTTTGTTTATTGATTAGTTGTGGATTTAAAAATGTTTCCTTGGAATGAAGTTGACCCATATTTTAGGGTTCGGGTGTGATTTAACAAAATACAAAAGGAACATTTTCCATCTGAAAGTTCAACCTCTCAGCTGTGTTCATACTCAACAAGTCCCAGAGTGGAGCTTCAGGTCTCACGTTACATCAAGCTTTCTAGTTTGAGGACCCTGTGTGATCCCCAGAGGAAAGTGTGGACACTAATTTTAGAACATCTTAAATAATGTTTTTCAAACACAAGTCATGTTCTTAGGAATGATTCCAAAAAGTCTGTCACCAGATTAACTGAAAACTCTTCTTTGTACTTTTTTAAATCCTTTAAACAGAGACCTTAATGTGTCTCTGCAGTGAAACTGGAGCAAGAAAACAACAGAATGTGTTAGGCTTCCACTCATGTATGTCCTTTAAGTTATAATTATAGTTTTTACAAACTAAAACTCTTCATTAGCTCCCAGACTAATAAACATGTCTAATGAGTGAAGTGAGGTGACGATATTTGATGTAGTTGTGAGCTACAGCTACTTCCCCCATGGCTCAGTCAGGCTGATTTTAAATGATTTGCATTTGACACATTGATGAGTGAACAGGTCAGATCAGAAAAATGTTTAAAATATTTCTTGGCAGATACATCAAGATACATTATCCTACCTAAGAAAATAAATAAACATATGTTTTAGTCTGCCATTCGATCAATACCTTGGCCAAGGGAGAATGATCATATTGGAAATGGAAGTTATACTAAACTCTCTTTTATGCCGCTTGTCCTCCAGACTGATGAGCCAGAGCTGGAGGAGAGTAAAGACCCAGGGAAGGAGCCTCCAGCAGGGGAGACAGTGGAAGGTCTGGGGGTAATGAAAGTGGGGGAGAAAGGGGAAGAGAATGCAGTACTAGAGCCGGTAGGAGAAGGGGAGGCCAGTGCTGGAGATAAAGACAAGCCCCAGACTCCTCCATCAGAGCATGTTGAAGGTGACGCTGAAGAGGCTGGAAATTCAGAAGACAAAGCCTCCACTGACGCTGATGTGAAAGATCCTGAACCGACAAGTGGAGAAAAAGATGGGGAGGGAGAGAGGGAGGGAGAGAGGGAGGAAGAGAAGAAAGGTCGGCAGGTGGAAGAGGTCAAGAGTTGCGAGACTGAGAGAGATGGAGAGGAGATGACAGACAAAAACAAAGAGAAAAAGAAGAGTAAAACAGAGGGAAAGGCGAAAGAAGCAGAAAGAGATATCGAGGAAAAGACAGCAAAAGAGGCAGAGAAGAAAAAAGTTGAGGAAGTTGACATAGAAACGAAAGACAAAGCAAAGATTAAGGAGGTAGAAAAGCAAGGGAAGCCCAAAAGAAAGAGTGGTCCTCCCTCTTCTTCTGTGTCCCGACCAAGACAATCTGTACGCTCTATGAGAGCAGCAGCTAAACAAGACATCATTGCCAAGTTCCAGCAAGGTGCACCAGAGTAAGTGATTGTACGATACCAGTATACCTCAGTGACAGTAAATATGAAAATTAGGGTTTCAGTAGAAAATGTGCGATATTGTGTCATTTGTAGGACACCAACACCCCGCAACTTCAAAGTTCAGAGGTCATCTACAGCTGCTGCGACAGGAGCTTCAATCAAACAGAAGATGCTTCAGTGGTGTCGCAGCAAGACTCGCAACTATGATGTGAGTTCAACACACAATCTACATCACCAAATTTCAAGATTTGTCGCCCATTTGGGACAAGAGATTTTACACAATAACATAAATAAGCCTTGGTTTGTCTATCTTCCTGTCCCTTGACCTTTTAGGGTGTCGACATAGAAAACTTCTCATCATCCTGGTGTGACGGGTTGGCGTTCTGCGCTCTGATCCATCGTTTTTTTCCTGATGCTTTTGACTACAGCTCCCTAAGTCCAAAGGAGAGGGAGAAAAACTTCACTCTGGCCTTCCAAACTGCAGAGTATGGAGTATTTAACTACCTCCCCTTCATTTCTTTTCTCAGTTCAGATCATTATCATCCCACAAGAATACATTTGTTTTGCATCAAGGCAGCATGAAACATTAACACAATAACAATACAATAAGACAGATGGCATTTCAAGTAGTTCTTTGTCATCCAGTATGCACAACAATTACAGAGAAGCAGTTGTTGTTCTAACAATGTTTACACTCATCAGGACAGAAACATGAGTCCAAATGAATGATAATGTTGCTCATAACTCCTGGAATATATATAGGTATGATAACATGTTCGCCATTTCAACTTGACGATAAGTCAATGTTCTCTTCATAACTTGTTTCTGCTGCTTACAAGTGGCCAAAACAATCTGTTAGTGCATGTATGTTGCCTCATTGCCCCAATTTAAAATGACCACACCCAAATCAGTGCAAAGATCAGGACTCTCTTTCTCTCTGTAGTTACTTTTCTGTATGTCACTGTTTTGTCTCACCTCAGTTCTCTCCTTTCCTTTCCTTTCCTCTCTGTCCTCCCCGGTCACCTCACTCAGGTCCCTGGCCGACTGCTGCCCTCTGCTGGAAGTGGAGGACATGATCATGATGGGTAAACACCCGGACCCCATGTGTGTATTCACATATGTCCAGTCCCTCTGCCACAGCCTCTCTAAAATAGAGAAAGAGAGGAAGGACAAAGAAAAGGAGGAGAAAGACAACAAATCTGGCGATGGGGGAGAGGAGAAAGAGAAGGGAGAGGTGTCACCGGAGAGGGGCGAGTCTGCTGAGCACGGGGCGATGGAGAGCCAAGAGGAGCAACAGGGAGATATTACAGAGACAGAGGGTACTGGCAAGGAAGAAAATGCATCAAACAGCTGTGAGAGGGAGGAGTGTTAATCAAGACAGAGTCCTCAAAAACAGACTGACTGCAAACAGAAAGACTGAAAAGACCAAGAGGATGGTTGATGGTTGTGGTACTTCAATGAGTAAGTCTTAGTTTGGTGTTGGATTGACTACTGGCAATGTGACTTTAATTAGCTATATTTTTGAAAGTGTATTATGCTGTGTGTTGATGATTTTTTGCATGTTTGTTTTGAGATAATAAATGTTTAGTCTAAAAAATAATAAAATGATGAACTTGTGAATTAGAAAGTTGTTTGGGCAGAAAATATTTGTGTTGATGTGATGCTCAGCCAATATGAATGGGAATGAATGACAACAAGTATAATGGATGATCAAATTTTCACAATTTTGCCAGTTTGTAGTACACAAATTGTATTACTTTATACAAAAGCAATACAGTGGATAAGAATCCATTGTGATTTTGAGCCAATAACTATAGCATAATGTTTTTGTTCTTTATCAGTGATGACGCTATTGTTGTTGTATGTTGTTCAAGGGAGGATCTGAGGTCTACAAATAGCAGGGTTTCCCCAACATTAAAATGAATAGCAGTGGATTACCAGCTATAATAGTTTCTAATAAAACAAAGATTTACACATGAGTCAAAAAACAAGCCTTTTTTTCCATGTAGTTTCACTCTATCATCTCTCAATTAGACCATTAAGATATCATTGATTGTGTCTTAAATAATTATTTTGTATTGCTCGTTAATATCAGAGCCCAGGTTAACTGTTGAGGTTTCATTATAAATCAATACATAAACAATTCTGAGCAGATAGGCTCCAGAATAACCAAGAAAAACATGAACTAAACACAGGAACTGAAACTGCCCCTGCTTTCTATGGGTTACGGTAACCAGCCTCACGCAACCGGAAAAGCCATTGTGTTGACCCTTTTGTTTGCTAACCCAACGACTGCGTGGAGCTCTTTTTCTCCCCCCTACGTAAGTCTCGGCGGCAGCAAAGTGAAACATGTCCACAGACATGCCGCCGGGCAGTCAGAATCTGGAGTCTCAGCTTTTGTCCATAATGGACGTGCTGGTGAAGGCGGCGGTGGTGGAGATCAGTCAGCTGTTCTCTGAGGGCTCGTCGTCTCTCCGCCTGCATCTAACGCAGAGCGTGAGGGAGAACGAAGCTTTGAGGATGCGGATGAAGGTGATGAGGAGCGAGCTCTTCTCCCTCCGGCTGCAGACCAGGAACAACCGGCCGGTGAGCCGCTTCTCCCCGATCAGAGGGAATATCCCCAAACCACGGGCTAAAACACACGGTAACGAGTACTTTTACTTCAAACGAGTATTTCGTCAAATGCAAAGTTTCAACCAATTTAGTTTTATTCTAATTAAAACGAGCTGTAACAGTTGCTGTTAGGGTTCTCGTTCTAAAAGCAAACGTCAATGAACGGCTGTTTTTCATCACGTGACACACACAACAACATGGTTCTTTGCTCTCGTGTACCCCGGAAGGTGGTCCATTAATTAACTGATTCACTTTAAAAACATGTTTAATTTATGACGAACGTTAGTTTAATTTAAGTTCATTATTATGGCTAAATATAGAAATATCTAATGTTGATTGTATTTTGGCTAGAGTGTATAAAGTGAATGCACATTTTGATTAAAACTCGTTTATCTTCTTTAGATACATCACTGACTCAGTTGTGACCGGCACGATTATATCTACCTCTAACTTAATATATTGCAAGTTAAAATGCTGGACAAATGATCCATGATAATTGTTATTATGACTATAATGATGTCACCTTAAACTCTAGGAAACTGTGATGTTTCACTATTTTAATAAACATGCTTCTACTTTTAACTTGTTCATCATATTTTGGAGACTGTACATTTGTTGCTTTTTGATATGTTAACTTATAACTAATGAAAAAAAAGTTTCATTTGAATGGGGATGTATTGGAGTTGGCATTAAATCATCAAAATCTCAAATAATATACATGCTAAATAAAGAAGCAATACTTGTTACACAGGGGCCCAGTGGGGAAGTGCTCCACATATTGAAATATCTTATCAATAGCTTCACCGTGTGACCAATTATAAAGCTCTTACTCTGTAAATTGGTGAATTCACAGCTAGTATGTGCAGCATGTTTAGGAGATCGATGTTTGTACTCAGCTTCTTGATGTATTTTATTCCCTCTAGTTGTCATTAAGCCACCATTGGCTCCAAAGCCTGTTGTGGAAGCTGCTTCTATCTCTCTACAATTGGAGAAAAAGATTTCCTCCTCTGAAACTCAAGTGGAGGTAAAATACATTGCAAGTACTTTCAGTAACTAAAAGTTTTTTTTTTTTTTTTTGCTCATGCGTAAATATTCTTATTTGTTAGTGTGCAGATGTGGAGAGCCCAGATATCATCCTGATCAAAGATGAAGACGACGTGGGAGGATGTGGACTAGTTGGAGGTGAGTAGTCAACAGACGCAGGAGTATCACTCGCATGTAGTGTCTACACTAACAATGCGTAGTTAGTATTGTTAATTGTAGTATTCCATTGTTAGTTTTGCCTTTTTAGGAGATTTGTTAACATAACATTATTTTCAGTCAGTACTACAACGTAGACTTTGCTGAAGCTACTTAAAGCTTCTTGATACAAATGATGTCCTTGTATACAAGCCCCAGTCTAAAAGTTTCATAAACCAACTGATTCAAAAAATCATTTTGTGGTTTGTCTTTTTAGGTCAGGACGACTTCGGAAACCACAGCACGCAGGCTGGCGTTTCTACAGGGACTCCGAATGAGTCCTGCCTGACGGGTGATAATGAGGAGCTGAGAATCGTGAGTGTTCACGGACGAGGGGAAGGGCCTCTGCAGGAGGAGAGCGACTCCCTCTTTACTGCCTCTGAACTCCAGGCTTTTACCTCTCTGTCTCCGGACCACAACGTCAGCCACGACAGCCTCCTGAATTTCACAACTGGTGCCGACGACAGAGCCCCAACGAGAGGGATGCCGGATAACAGAAACAGCCAACTGGAGCGGAATCATTCCACCCAAATGGCTTCAACGAAAACACAGATAGTAGGAGCTGACGGTCAAGTGGGGCACCCCAGTCATGTCAGCCAGTTCGCCCAGCAGCAGAACATCTTCCCTCACGGCGTCAGCAAATCCCTGGACTGCAGCTTCTGTGGCGAGCGCTTCTTAAGCCGCGAAGACCTGATCGTGCACCGGGCGAGTCACACCGGGGAGTCGCCCGTTCTTTGCACCTTTTGCGGCAAGTCGTTCGTCAACAAGACCACGCTGAGCATCCACATGCGCATTCACACCGGGGAGAAGCCGTACGCTTGTGCGCAGTGCGGGAAACGCTTCACGCAGAACGGCAGCCTGAAGATCCACCTGCGGACTCACTCCGGAGAGAAGCCGTACACCTGCAATCAGTGCATCGCCAGCTTCAACAACCCCAGCAATCTGCGCAGGCACATGATCACACACAATACAAACGGGGTGCTCTGACCATGAAAGTATGCAAAGATATAAACAAATTAACATGGAATTTAACATTTTTCAGCATGTTACTTTTACTGACACTTTGTGTGCCAAACAGTGTGTATTTGGGTGCTATGTGTTTCATGTGTGTTTGTGTAGTTATCAAGAACCTGCCGTGGGTCAAATGTGCTTGACAAGTACATTTGACCCAATATCAATGGAGTGTTGCATTTCAACATAAGGACACAAACAAGCCTGATATCTGTTCAATAAGAACAGATTTTTTAATTCAAGGAAAACAACCTGCTGAACTAAAATGCCTTCATCCTTCCTTTTTTAAACTGTCTTTAAAAGCAGAAAAACGAATGCCTTATTCATCATTCAAGGAACATATACAGCATCTTAATTTAATTTGAATTAAATACATACTCAAAAACATGACCAGCTCTGCATGTGATACAACTGTAGCTCAATGCTAGATAAGTAAACATGCATTGTGTGAATTACAGTCATTATTAGAAACATTCACAGTTGCTATCCTGAGTTATCTGACAACACATGAGAATCTTTCCCATGGTTGCAGGAGGAAACCATGTGCACAACCATGTGAACGCTAAGCGTGCAACACATGCAGATTTGAACACTTAAATTGATAGAATTATCAACAATGACACTGAAATACAAAAAAACGGACAGTTATTGATAGGTGTTATGGATAAAATCTAAAGTGTGTTTTCACAATTTTGATATATATTGTGATTTATACCCTTCATTGATGTGCCCACATTGGCCTAATGCAGATATTAAAGGGATATCATTTTATAACCTGTCTGGCAAAATCAGTTGTGATATGGTTAATACATTTCTACTGATTGCCAACCTTTGGTATAATTTGGTACAAATGTTACAAGAATGCTAATGTTGAGTGTTTTAAACTGTTTTGAAAGTTTCTCACATGACAGAGTTGACAACAAATCCCAGACACTGACTAAATGTCTGACTGATTTATCAATCTGAACATTATAACTTATTAGGAAATTAAAATGTTTGCTTACTGTATAGTAAGCTGCCTTTTAAGGAGACACGTTTTATTTCATTGATATGTGTAAGTGTGTGTTTCATTTAAAAAGCAAACTACCTCCACTGTTGTCTCTGTTGCAGCTCTCTTATACTCTTTTTGTACTTCTCATATAGTTTCAGAATGATTGCAATAATCATTTTAGTGTGTATGTTGTCTGTGGATTTGTATCCTGGATATGCAATTGTTAATAAATATAGATTTTTTTAAAACAGCTTTCAATGTCTGACGAGTCACCTATTATTTTGCACCCCTAGGGCGCAGCATTGTTTGTGTTCCCAGTGATTATTGTGACTCAGGTTTACTCATACTGTCGCGCTGTGGGGGGACTCATAAGGAAACTGGGGGAAATTCCTTGCATTGTTCCTCTTTCCACCCTGCCCACACTAGAGTGAGGTTTATCGACATCCTACTTGTTTGGCTTTGGTTTCACTCAAAGATTAAAAATAAAAAAGATGGGCTTTTATCAAACACTAATACATAGTACTAAAAGTGCAATAATTACTGTAATATAAAGAGAAAACATGATGTTGATGCTTAAGTTGGAGTTACAGTTGTGCAGAGATCCCCAAATAGTGTGGCTGTCAAGCATGATTCATTTGAGTCAAGTGATTGCAGAGGAGGTTTTCCATCAATCTATTTACTGATCGGGCACATGCGGAGGATGTGATGGTCACTGGTAGGGGTTTTATGTGCCAATAGTTTTATCATGTTGGTGTGGAATGCTGTTGTACTTCCACAAGAAATGCAGCTTCCTCTCAGGCCATTGTTCTTGGGCAATCAATGAAATGACATCAGTGTGTGTATATTTGAGGGAGAGGGGGGCGACATACGGAAATGAATGGGAGGAGAGAGGAGGCTGTGGGAGGACGCCTATTTATTCTCCTACTGCAGCAGAATTTAAATCCCCCTTCTCCTCTTTTTAAAATCGTAGGCTTGCCCCTGTCAGTCTGTGCGTGTTATCCTTGTTCCGAGTCCAGCTACTGCATGCCTGTCTAGAAACTTGTGACAAACACCTGTATGAGAAAAGGAATTCTGAGTGCGCCGTCTTTACGGTAAGGCCTGCTTGTTGATCCCGCCCCCCTTTGATAGAAAACTCGGTGATGTCGCTTCGTCTTTAACGAGCTTGACCCAGAACCCAGGGAAGGAGGGGAAAAAGAGGGGAGAAAACACCAAATAAACGGAATAGTCTGGAAGGGGTCGGGACAGGCGTTCAACGAGCAAGGTAAGTTCATTCATAAATGTCACCAGAGGGTGGATAAAGCAGCGGCCGTGGTTTTTTCCCCCACAGATACTGGGTGCACTGCAGCGTTGGCAAGGAGTGGTCACATCATCGATATGGGCTAACGTTAGCTAACAATGCGAACGTTAAAAGTTCACACCGCGACCCCGCGGTTCCGTTGCTCACCGTGCACACTGGTATATCTTATTCAAAAGAGCTCGTGACACCGACGGTTTTACCCGATAATAACGTCTAAATTATCTTTTACAACGCCGCTTAGCCAAACACACGCTAACTTGCGGCTAATCTGTGTTTGCTATGCTAGCGCCAGCTTGGCTCTCGGTCGGTTATGTAGGTTATTGTGATGCTAACGTAGCGAGACAGACAAACCAGGTCATGCGGGTGCTGAGCGAACATTCTGGGCAACTGGGCTGATTTGATCTCAAACATTGTCATTTAAGTGGACAGTAGCGTTAGCACAAGCACACAGTTACTCAATGCTCCACTGCTCTTTGTTCGCGAGAGTCATTTTATACCCACGTCGTGTTGTCACTGCCTCTGTGTTTTAGCTGCCATAGATTGCTATGCTACGTTAGCAAGTCAGTTGACGACAGGCTGGGGGGGGTTTGCTGGATCAGGGAGATGTTAGCTGCAGATAGGGAGATGTCCACACCTCGACTGTTACCGGTGGTGTGGTTTAAGGTAACTGTAAACCTCGCAACTAGTTTGACAACATATTTACATGTTGAGCCTGTTTTGTGTATTTGAGTCTAAAAAGGGTGGTGGTCCTCCAGTTGTAGTCTGTCACACGGGCTGGGAAGTTGAGTTTGTCCACTTGTGAACCTGTTGGGTGGGTCCTGTGTGAACTTGTTGTGGTAGGAGAATGCCAGGGTGGGGACAACTTAACTGTCGACTTGAGTGTGAGAACAAATAAACTTGCTTTTCCCTCGTAAACGTTGGCTGTATGTATGCATGCGCGCAAGTGATTTCCCAGGGGCCTTTAGGACTGTCCTGGATTATGTGTACACAGTATCTATGTAGGTACCAGTGGGTCTGGGATGTAGGTGGTTTAATGTGCTGCAGGAGCCACCACTAATAACACCAGCTGAGCTGTGCCTGTGAACACCCTGAGTCTTTCCTCACTACTTTAAAGTCACTGTTTGATTGTTGATACATGCTCCCAACTGCAAGCGTGTCTGCTCTCTTGAGGTGTGCAGGTTAATCCACAAAGGGCCTAACTTGTGTGTGTGTGTGTGTGTGTGTGTGTGTGTGTGTGTGTACGTGTGTGTGTGTCTCTACGTGTGTGTCTACGTGTGTGCGTGCACCTTAACATCATGTGTGTATGTGTTGGGAGGTAAGTGGATTAGCGGGCTAAAGCTTCAATCCCATTACAAGCCACGCTCGGTTTAAACCAACGCACGTGACGTCACAATAACTTATCAGCTATAACTGCAGTGTCTGTTACCCTGAGACGCAAGAACAGATGTGCTTTTTTTTTTTGACTGTGAATGTGTTGTTTCAGTGGTAGTTTTGGCTGCTGATGGCAGGTGTAGGCGCTTATTTCATTAACCAGAGTTTCATTAAGTGGACAAAGGCTGCACTGTTGGCTACATGTGCACATGATCACAGATGTCTTCTGACGGGGTTGAGTCATGCTGACTGATGGCTGCAGAATCAGATGGCGTTATGCGACTTGTGGTATGTCAGGGCTCGATCAGATGTTTGAGGGCTGTGTGCATGTTGTTGACCTCAAGGCACTGACTGACATCTTGACCATTTGTTGGCGTCATGTTTGGCACAGCAGAACGGAAGTCTTTCTTTGTGCACATTTGTTTCCTCACCCTTTTTTAAAGCTTTTAAAAACATATTGCTTTCGCTGCTTTTACATGTCTAAATGTACATTTATAGTGAATGAAGGATCAGCATGTATGACTAAAATGGTTCATGCCATTCATAGTTTATGATCTATTTTTTCACTGATTTTCTAAAGATAATGAATATGGTAGAGGAGTAAGAAAAACAAGAAATAATAACATTTGAGACATTGAAACCAGTGAATATTCCCTATATGTGCTTAGAAAAATTTGTTGTATGATTAACCAGTTATCAAAATAGAAGAATGAGGATTCAGCAGTTAAACTGTGAACAAACTGAATAACTTACTAAAAGAAAGCTATTCGGCCATGCGGGTTTACAAAGATTGCTTCTGAAAGCAGAACAGAAAACAGTAGTTGGAGAACAATATTAGCAAAATGGGAAGTGGTTTGTGGTCATGTGATCGACATATCGACCGTGGGGGGTTTTCACCTCAAAGACTTCCTCCAACCCTCAGTAGGTTGTTTATTGGAGTGTATATCCTATAGGCTCCTGTGGTTTTGTGTACAAGCGGCTCTGTTGAGGAAAATGTTTTTTGGTGAGCTTAAGTAACCGCCGCGTCCCTCTACTCATCTCTGATGTCGAATTCATAACATCCTGTTTCTCAGGAAGTGGGTTAGAGGGGAGAGGGGAGTGGCAATGGGAGAGCAGTGATTGTTTTCATTGTTCAGCGAAACTCACCGGTGACTTTCAAGGCCAAAACTAACAGCTGTGAAAGGGGAATACGGGTGGAGAACAGAAGTCAGGAGAGGGTAAAGAGCGCCGTTAACTGGGCCCCCTCCAGACGCATACAAACGCAGATGTACGCTCACTCAAATGTGTCCAATAATATCCTCCTGGCCCGCCATTGCACAAACTACTTATTGTTACACCAAGCTCCCAGACTGACAGCTGCAAATTCCCTCCTTTGACTGCAGTTAAAACACACACACTTAGAATTACATTCGCAAGTACACATGCCAAGAAATATCAATCGCAGTTTATAATATATCTAGCGTGAATGACAGTTGCACTCATTAGTGAAATACGATAGCGGTTAGCATGGTTAAACATGTTTATTCGCTCCGTCTTGAGATTAGATGAGCAAGGCAGTGTTTACAGAAGACATTAAAATAAATAGTTGGTCCTTCTGTGTTTTGGGTATTTGCCGCCAGTGAACTGCCTTATAATTATGCGACAGTATGGTAAACACAAACCTCGAAAGGATCATTTGCCAGTGTCCTGTTACGGTCGCTTTATAGTGGGTGGGCCGCTGTGCTGAATTGGCAGGAGACAATACTAGGAATGCAACATTATCTTTTATTTAGCATTCCTTTCCTTATCTCTACCCCCTCGTTTGCTCCACATGACACTCTCCTTGTTGCGTATTTCACTGCCCGTCTTTCGCCTTGCTTTATTTGTTGGCAGCTCTTACTCTGTTCGTCCCTGTCTGTCTCGTGGATAATATCAGCCCTGTCCTGGCTATGACCATATATAGGCATGTGTGGTACAGGACAGCAGTGTGTGATATGTTCAGGTGGGAGGTTATAGCTCCGGGTCTTCTCAGCCACTATGCAAAGGATAGTGTGAGTGTGTATGTGACGTCATTTTATCCCGTCAGTCGGCTTTTTTCTGTGAATACAAATCCTGGTTTTGGTTCCGAGTAATTCCTTTGTCTTGTGAAATAGATTTCAGCCACTCCTCGTTTTCTCATCAGGCCATCCCACTTTCCTCCCTTTTTTCCCACACTGGGAACACCCCAAGCTGGGTTTCTTTCATGCAACAAATGGTATACGTGCGTGGGACTGTGCGTTAGTCATTCATTTAACAGACGTACTGGAACAGATTCGGCCTCCCCAGGCTTCATTTAAACAGTTAAAGGGTGTCGTAATAGTCTGTCGCTCAAACTGATTTCACCACGTCTGTCCTTTCTTTTTCTTGTTTGCACAATCTAATACAGGTGAAACTGAGTCATTCATCACCACCTCTCCACTTGATCTCATTACACCAATGCTTGTTAAGTTTCTACCTGTCGTCCACACAAACACCTGCTGCCTGAAATGTAAATGCAGGTCCCTGTTTGTTGCCCAAATCTCTCTGGAATTTCCCTCCAGATCGTCAGAGGAGTGTGTCTGTGCATGTTGGTAGGACAGACAGGCAGGCAGGCAGGCAGACAGGCAGGCATTGAGAAACTTCAATTTGGTTGCCCCCCCCCCCCCCCCCCCCCCCTGCCTTGTCCAACCGGTCTTGCAGGTGTGTGTGTGGGTGACAATGCCTGTGTTTATTCACCTTTCAAAGCAGGGCTGGTGGGGAGCCGGGCTGCTGCAGTAGAGGGTCTATCAACAGATAAGAGGATCTGATTCTACACTTGTTTGGCTCTGCTATAACAATGTCTTTCTCTCAGAGCACAGCCAAGATAACAAAGAGACGTGGGGGGAGGGGAAAAAAGCCAGTATAGTTGAGCGAACAAGAGTAGAGGACTGACAGAGTTGTGCCAGAGTTGGATGAAGACTGATTAGAGAGGAAAGGCTGGAGGAAAAACCTGAAGGAGAGGAAAATAATGAGTTTATAAGAGAAGATATGGTTCTTGAAGGATGTTACTGTCTCTGAAACCCCTTTTCTCTTTATGTTGACGGTCGATGTTGTCTGGCCCAGAAAGAGCTGCCGGTTGGTCAGTCACTTCCCAGTGTATGCAGGCCTACGTTGAGTAAATACAGGGTGTGTCTAAAGGCTGAACCTACTGTATGCCTCTGTCTCTTGCTGGGCTTTTTCGGCTCACAGAGCAAACGCAATCCCTTTGACACACTTGTACGGTATTCTCACCATGTTGCTGTTTTTCAAACCGAGGTGCCTTCGTTCTTCACCAAAACATTTCTCCCCCTTTCTCCTTATTTACTCTCCTCCCTGTCCTTCTCTCTCTGCAGTCGATTCCTCCCTGTTTCTGGGCTCGGTGGTTCGGTGGCCTTCTTCCCATGAGCAACTAGAGCTCAACCTCTGACCTTGGCGTGATCTTTGACATCTACTACCAAACAACGCCCACAGGGGAAGGTGTGTATATCTGTTTTTCTCTGAAATGAGCTTCGAGAGTGTGTCTGTGCTTGAATTGTAAGGTATGCTGCCTTGTATTGGATGTTGTGATCTTAAGCTTTCTCCACAAAATATAACGGATTCTTCTCTTCATGTGAAACGGGCCTCATCCTCTGTAGATATGTGTATCACCATAAATTGGTGTTTTTAATTTTAAATTCATGAAGTATGGAAAATCCACCTACATTTCCCCCACGACTTTGAACGCTACATTAATTGTATGTCCATGAAATAAACATATGCCAGCGAGGCACCCCACATTTTCTTAAAGGACATTTTCTTAAAAGTATTCTTGGATTCCAAAAACCTCTTTTGGTCCGCCGTTTGTGTTTAAGAAAGTATTTCCTGTTGTGGAGTCTGAGAAGGTGAAAAGCCCAGAGGACTCCTAACTTTATTGATCTGCATGCATGGGATGGTGATATTGACCAATGTAACGCTAAAGCTATCTCCATATAATGATGATCAATATGTTGCAATATTAATGATCAATGCAATAACCAGGGTTTTAAAGACTCCGCTGCCTCCATCATCACCGCCTCCTACGGCAGCGTTTTTACCGACCCAAAATTGACAGAATCACGTGTCATAAATTCGTCTTTGGTTTATTATTCTGCTGTATTTTCCTCTCGCATGATGCCACCCTGGGATGGTTTCACTGTTGCACTTACAGTTGAGTGATGCAAACCACACTCTTTTTGTGATACAATGCTGACACTTGACGTTTGAGCAAGTCGGCGATATGGGGTATAAAAACCTGAACGAAATGAGTCATGACACTATGCCAGGATTTCAAAGGAGTACACATCGGACACAAGAGCCCAGTGTAATTGGGGATGTTTTGTGTCTGAGATTGAGCCAGAAACGATGTCTTTACAGTTGTGACTGCTGTATATTCATTATTGAGTTCAAAGGGAAGTATTGTGCAATCCGCACAGTGCCGATTCCAAGAAGGCGTCTCGACAGTAATCACCAAACAAAGCAGATGTGGTGAAATAACTCCTCCCACTTAATATCAGCCCCAAAAAATCTGTGTGTGTGAGGCTGTATGGGTGTGTGTGTGTGGATGTTTGTAACGCCCCCCCTCTCTCCCCTTGGGGCCGTGTAGTGTGTATGGAGCAGCGTGAGAGCGCAGCCGCTCTGCTGGAGTCTGTCAGGGAGCAGGAGGTGCAGTTTGAACAGCTGACCAGGGCACTGGAGGAGGAGAGGAGGAGAGTCGGCCTCCCTGCCACCAGCCCCTCTGCCCTGGGTCACCTCCTCCCTCACACACAGGTAACACTCCCCAATAAACATCCCAGTCCAGAGTCCCCCCCATCTTTCAATTAACATCCAATCCATGGATCACCATTTTTCTTTCATCCAATCCTGAAAGTTTTCTCCCGCCATCATTCATCCCTTCCGCCGCCTGCTTCCTCTCCGCCACGCTCGGCCAGTCGGTGTGTGTTTGCTTGTGTCGCTGAAGTCGTTCAGCCATCGTCCGCCAACACAGTGCTTTCCTGCACATAGTTCCACTATTTCAACATGGCTGAGATGATCATCAAACATTTTCTGCATGCCTTCACTGTCGCTCACCGGATACTCTTGACACAAACATACACCCCTTTCAGTGGCCCCCGCTGTGGAATCTCAGTCATCCGCCTCTCTGTTCCAGCATGTCCTGACTCGTGTTATCAAGGGCAGTCATCTGTCCTGCATCCGTCATGCATGTGTCTCACAGTCCTTCATCAAAAAATGTTGTCTTTATTTTCATTTAAATCCTGTATCAAGTGCTTTCATCTTTTTGTGTGTTGACCATCCATGATATTGCAAGCTCCTTTATGAAATTGTTTTTAAGATATCACTGCTATGTGTTATGTTTCTGCTGCATTATATCTGCCTTAAAGCCCATTTGCTTTGATCTGCAAGGAGAACTAAAACCAGACATTTCATTATTGTATCCAGTTTCTCAATTGAGTTCATTATATCATTATATAAATCTGTTTTGTAGTTGAAGACCAGCTTTCCTGTATTGAGTTTAAAGGCTCTTACTCTGCTTTTTTTTGTTTGGAGTTATTTCCTCGATGGGGCTTTATTGTTGCCTTCTTGTCCTGTTCTGTTGTCTCCACCAAAAGACTTGACAAACAGAGACCAGTCAGCTTCCATTAGGTGCCGATAGGCTTTGGAGATCAGTTAAAGCAAACCCATTATCAGTGTTGTATTCATGGGTTGACATTAAAGCACAATCTCCAGCCCTTGGCGTTGTACGCTGACTGAGTAGAATAGTTTGAAATCTTTTCCTTTCATTAAGGGCCTACTGACATTGGCTATCTTATGTTTTGTCTCTTTGAATCCTTGGCCGTGATTGGTATGTGGCAGCTGGAGGACGAACGCTAAGAAATCAATCATCTGTGTTTTTGGCCTTGTGCTAACTATGCATGTTTAAAAAGATATGACTGCTGATGAAGATACTCGCGCTTTGTCCGCCTCACAGTCTGCGCTTTTATCTGAGACCATGACTGAGTTGTTGGTAAATAAGATGACATTATAGGAAGAACCAGTTGTAGAGGAAGTGAGCCCTACTTGTTGTAAAAGTCCACTTCCCATTCCTTTCCAATAGCAGCTCTGCCTCCCCATGGACATAATCTAAAGTGCAGTATGACATACTACTGTTTGATAAGCTTCACAGCGTTTTGTATTGGGCATAACGGTACACAGAAGTCAGGGTTCGGTTCATACTTTGGTTATGCACTACGTGCATCAATCTACATGCAGTGTATTCTGCATGAGGCTGCGTGCACCGGATCGTGAGCCTCTTATTGTCACAATTCGACACAAATTCACCAACCGTTGTTCGTGCCAAAGAAATACTGAAACTGATAGTAAGATGTGAGGAGCAGGCGTTGCTGGGAAAGACTTCCGGAGTATCCCAATTATGCAGAATTCCTGTGTGATTCAGCTCGAGGCTATTGCTGATAACTGAGGCAGTTAATGTTGCATGAGTGTTACTCGGGGTTAGCTAGAAAATGTTATACAGTGTGACAGTCATTGGTTATGTAACGGAATACAGCAGGAGGAAGTGGGGTGTGAGGATGAGTGGCTGCGCTCCAAAATGTCCTCCCTCATGTCTGGCAGTGATTCACAGACCATAAACATGCAGGGACAGTTTGTCAGCAGCAAATGTGCTTATGCAGGAGTAATATCATCCGGGAGGTTTGAAGAATGTAGACGGCCCCGGCTACTGGGTATCAGGCCTTCAACCTCACTTTTACTTGTTGTTTCAGCCAAACTGTATTATATTCATTATGTGTACAATATGTGTGTGTGTGTGTGTGTGTGTGTGTGTGTGTGTGTGTGTGTGTGTGTGTGTGTGTGTGTGTGTGTGTGTGTGTGTGTGTGTGTGTGTGTGTGTGTCTG